TCCCAAGTTGGGCCTGTAAAAAGTAACAGTCTTGAATTGATGAGATTGAGGTAAATATTTTTAAGTCAGAAGCGAACAGCAGGTTAAATTTATTGCCAAGTCATTTATAAATATACTAAATAATAGTGGCCTCAGATTGGAGCTCTGTGGAACTCCAGATGTTGCTGTGAAGGGTGAAGATGAAAATCCGTTGTAAAACGATGATTTAGGTAAGATGAAAATAATCTCAACAGCGACTGATCAAACCCTAAGCATTCCAACTTCCTTACAAGAATATTATGATTTTCAATTATTACAAAATACATCATGGGCAGGTTGTACAAAAAATATTCTAAACATATTTTAACTAACAAGAGTTTTATTTTTAACTAGTTATATTCAAAAACAAATGTCATTTTTAAAACTATGTTTAACAATAACCGATGAGTATACAACAAGGTTCACAGTTTAAACTAAGTCTACATTTTAACTGCCTATTGTACAATCCGCCATATGTACAATTCAAAATTAATTGTATTTCTTTAAAATGCACTTGATTCTGTTGATCAAAATCATTCGATAAAAAAATTAAAAAGTATTGGTATAAAGGTGGTTTTCATATCTATGCTATAAAGCATGCATTGGGGTAGCATGTAGATTATCTAAGTATCAGGTCAGAGAGATTAAAATTAAATAACATATGTAGTGGGATTCTCATCTTTTGAGTACGTCTCCTATCGAGACTCCTATCTTTGTTGGACAGACAGCGATTTTGATGTAATGTCTCTATTCTGTATGTAATGTGTCGAGTTGGCACAAAAGAATCGCTGTTCAGAAGAAATTAACCACATCAAAGGAAGAAAATTAGGTCCCCTGTTATTTTTAATTTATATTAATGACTGTTAATGTTGCAATAATTAATATGACATTTACCTGTTTGCCTATGATGTCCTTATCTATGTTTCTTGTAAGGATTCAGATAACTAAGAGTTAATTGTCAATGAAACTCTGCAAAATGTTTATAAATGATGTTGCAATCATTTGTTAAAAATCAACACAAATACCTAAAACAAAATATAAGCTGATAAGTAATAACTATATGCAGTTTGTGGACAAACAATATAGGAAATTGGAAGAAAATCTATATAGTTAGTAGAAAAATTTAAATATTTAAGGGTAATTATTCGGAAACAGATGAAATTCACAGACCATATGCAAATACTGTTATCAAAACAATTGCAGTTAAATTACATTTCCTATTTAGAATGTTATTAAAATAATTGTTATATTATTACATATTTTTTACTAAATTTGAATATTGTGATATTAGCAAACTAGCCAAATAAAGAAAATAAAAATAAAATAAAAACCGAAAACATACCTTGATCTACAATAATATAAGTACATTGCATCTTTTAAATTATTAAAGTCCATTAAATTGAAATGACACGTCAAACCATAAACGTCAAACTTTCAAAACAAACATGCTTGTGTTCCAGACAGAAAATAGCATTTATAGAATAGAATAATTTATTTACTTGCAACCTTCCCCGCACACCACCTCGCCCCTCACCCAGAAACATGGTCAAATTGGGCTAAGCCATTTTACATTCGTCTGCATAGGGAGCGATGTTGCAATTTTTCAATTTTTAGTGTCTATTCCGTCTGTTCAGATGGCAGCATCTTATGGGCCCTACATTTTTAAATCTTATCACAAGAATCCTGAAATAATTAGGCAAAAATAAAAGAATGTATGTTGCGTTTTAACTTTTAAATACTATAAAAAATGATGGAAAGTCCATAACTTTTAAATATTTGTTAAATATCACTCATTAAAATATTATGTATTGAAAGTAAAACAAACCATAGACTTTCCATCATTTTTTACAGTTTTTTGAACCCATTTATGAAAACAGTTTTTGAAAATATTATCGTTCAGAGCCGTCACTTGTCATTGAACTTGGCCTTAAAACTTTTAGAATCTTATTTATCTGGACGCTTTCAGGCTGTCACATTTCAGAACCAAAGGTCAAATTTTAGTTCGGTTAAGCATGGAGTTCAACAGGGCTCTGTCTTAGGACCATTATTATTTATTATATATACCAACGATTTAAGTAATTATATGGGTCCTTTTAAATCTGTTCTATTTGCAGACGATACCACTTTTGTGTACTCTGCAAAAAATGAAATTGAATTGAAAAATACTGCAGAAACTATTATCGCTAAAGCTGAAAATTGGTTCTTAGCTAACAATCTCATGCTAAATCAAAGTAAATCTCAGGAATTGCAGTTTTCTTCGGTTACCGATTCTCAAAATTGCAATAGTGCTAAGTTACTTGGAGTTATGTTAGATAGTAATTTAACTTAGCTTAAAACTATAACAGATCGTAACATATTAAGAACGATTTACTTTTCCCTATTCCATTCCCACATAAATTATGCCACTGCACTTTGGGGTAAAAGTTCGGATGCAATTTTGATTTTTCGGCTGCAGAAGAAGGCTGTTAGAATCATAACTGGTTCCAAATTTAGAGAACATTGTCAGCCCTTGTTTATTCAGCAAGGAATAATGCCTCTACCAACGATTTATATATTTAGTGTCCTTTTGGAAATTCATAAGAAATTATCATGTCTTTCTAGGCAGTCCGACATTCACAAATATCCTACCAGACAAGCTAACAACTTAAGAATAAATAGATATCGTCTAAATAAATCAAAAAACAATTCCCTCGACCTTGGTCTTTATAATGTATTGCCATCCGAGTTTGGGCTGCTGGAGTTCAATTCATTTAAGAAAAAATTAAAAGCATTTATGTTGACACATTGTTTTTATTCCGTAGAGGAATATATCGATAGGTGTAAACTTACATAGTTCTTAAACCTTCTAGTCTATTTGTTTTCTCTTCTCTTTTATATATACTCACCTAACTTAATTTGAGTAATTTTATTCTACTTAACAATTATATGTATGTAGTTATTTCATTGTGTAGTTCTGTATTTTATGTTTAAAAATAAGCTGTTATTTTAATATGTACGTTTTGTGATTTGCTACAAACATATATTGTAATATGTAACGTAGTCAAATAAAATTTACTTTACTTTACTACTTTACTTTACTTCGTTCATATTTTTCGGATTTGGAGAAAAAAGTTTGACCCAAAAAGCACTTGTTAACTAGACTATATCGTGCGGACAAAAACGTGACATCGATCGGACGGATGGAACCAAACGCATAATACTCTTCACAGACTACTATTTAAAGAGTATATAACTAGTATTCGTTCAGAGGTCCAAATTCGGCTATAATCGTTAATGAAAATTTGAGGAACACATATTATTCTAAGATCCGAAGTAAGGTCGACCTTCACCGATCTGTTTAATGGATGAAAGTTTTTTTTTATTAAAGAAAATAATAATTAATAATTATACTGGAAATGGGTTGCCTAAGAAAATACTGTCAAAACTATTTATTTTCTTAAAGTAAAAAAACGACACCCTATAAAATATTTACCAGATGCTTCGACTAGGCCCAAATTTTAATCAGCTCACCGCAGGATGGATTAAAGTTTAAGTTTAAATTTGATGTTTTTCTCTTTATCTGTTTTTGAGTTATTTTCAAAATTCGAAATTTGCACTTTTTCTTAAATATCCCGAATACGGTCAATTTTAAGGAAATTATGTGCACTGGCTTTATACTATGGTTGTAGTACCTTTTGTAACTTACTCATCAGCCATATGGTGGTACAAGACTAAAAGTATAACAGCTAACAGAAAATTAGACAAGGTTCAAAGACTAGCGATATCAATATTTTTAGTAAAAATCAAGCTATAGGAAAAGATAAAGCCCATTTTGAAAAAAAAATTGAATAAAGATGGGAGGGTTAAGTGAGGTTGAATTGTTTAAAAAATAAAAATAACTCAAAAACGAACAATAATATGAAATTGAAATTTTTGTCAAAAAGGGGACAAAGCCTATTAATTTTTAAAAAACTAAATAAAATAGGGGTCAAGGAAGGGGTTGAAAAAAAAAAAAACAAATCAAAAACCGAAAGCGTTATGAACATGAAAAGTTTAGTAAAAATCAAGGGAATGAATGAATAAATAACTAAAAACGGGGAGATAAGAGGGTTGAAATATTGAAAAAATCCCAAATTAGAAACAAAAACCCATATCAAATTGATTCTGAAAAAATCTGATTAAAAACGAGAGTTAAGGAAGTATGTTAAACCACAGTTAAACTGTGAAGAGTATATATAATGCAAAAATTCCAAAATTCCAAAATTCCAAAATTCCAAAATTCCAAAATTCCAAAATTCCAAAATTCCAAAATTCCAAAATTCCAAAATTCCAAAATTCCAAAATTCCAAAATTCCAAAATTCCAAAATTCCAAAATTCCAAAATTTCAAAATTTCAAAATTCCAAAATTCCAAAATTCCAAAATTCCAAAATTCCAAAATTCCAAAATTCCAAAATTCCAAAATTCCAAAATTCCAAAATTCCAAAATTCCAAAATTCCAAAATTCCAAAATTCCAAAATTCCAAAATTCCAAAATTCCTAAATTCCTAAATTCCAAAATTCCAAAATTCCAAAATTCCAAAATTCCAAAATTCAAAAATTCCAAAATTCCAAAATTCCAAAATTCCAAAATTCCAAAATTCCAAAATTCCAAAATTCCAAAATTCCAAAATTCCAAAATTCCAAAATTCCAAAATTACAAAATTCCAAAATTCCAAAATTCCAAAATTCCAAAATTCCAAAATTCCAAAATTCCAAAATTCCAAAATTCCAAAATTCCAAAATTCCAAAATTCCAAAATTCCAAAATTCCAAAATTCCAAAATTCCAAAATTCCAAAATTTCAAAATTCCAAAATTCCAAAATTCCAAAATTCCAAAATTCCAAAATTCCAAAATTACAAAATTACAAAATTCCAAAATTCCAAAATTCCAAAATTCCAAAATTTAAAAATTCAAAAATAAGATAAAATAAATAAAAGATTTATGTTTTGTTTTTTTTTTAGTAACAGGCAAGCAGGATGACTACAAATTCTGGACTTCAGCAATTCGTAGTAAGAACATATGGTACTGGATGACAAATGGTGCAGCTATAAGTTATTTTAAATGGGAAAGTCCTTCAGAAACTTCATCAAATCAGATGCTACTATCTTATACTTATGGTCATAGAATATCAGCTGATAACTGGTGGAAAACTGATGTTATAGACCGTCACGGTAGTGTCATCTGTGAGTCGTCGAGCGTAACAAATTAAATACAATAATACACTAAATGCGTCGTTTAATTACACCTAAATCCCGATAAACGTTATAGCAACAAAAATGTTACATCAAAAACAAATCCTGATGAATATAATAATAATAATAATAATAATAATAATAATAATAATAATAATAATAATAATAATAATAATAATAATAATAATAATAATAATAATAATAATAATAATAATAATAATAATAATAATAATAATAATAATAATAATAATAATAATAATAATAATAATAATAATAATAATAATAATAATAATAATAATAATAATAATAATAATAATAATAATAATAATAATAATAATAATAATAATAATAATAATAATAATAATAATAATAATAATAATAATAATAATAATAATAATAATAATAATAATAATAATAATAATAATAATAATAATAATAATAATAATAATAATAATAATAATAATAATAATAATAATAATAATAATAATAATAATAATAATAATAATAATAATAATAATAATAATAATAATAATAATAATAATAATAATAATAATAATAATAATAAATAATAATAATAATAATAATAATAATAATAATAATAATAATAATAATAATAATAATAATAATAATAATAATAATAATAATAATAATAATAATAATAATAATAATAATAATAATAATAATAATAATAATAATAATAATAATAATAATAATAATAATAATAATAATAATAATAATAATAATAATAATAATAATAATAATAATAATAATATAATAATAATAATAATAATAATAATAATAATAATAATAATAATAATAATAATAATAATAATAATAATAATAATAATAATAATAATAATAATAATAATAATATAATAATAATAATAATAATAATAATAATTAATAATAATAATAATAATAATAATAATAATAATAATAATAATAATAATAATAATAATTAATAATAATAATAATAATAATAATAATAATAATAATAATAATAATAATAATAATAATAATAATAATAATAATAATAATAATAATAATTAATAATAATAATAATAATAATAATAATAATAATAATAATAATAATAATAATAATAATAATAATAATAATAATAATAATAATAATAATAATAATAATAATAATAATAATAATAATAATAATAATAATAATAATAATAATAATAATAATAATAATAATAATAATAATAATAATAATAATAATAATAATAATAATAATAATAATAATAATAATAATAATAATAATAATAATAATAATAATAATAATAATAATAATAATAATAATAATAATAATAATAATAATAATAATAATAATAATAATAATAATAATAATAATAATAATAATAATAATAATAATAATAATAATAATAATAATAATAATAATAATAATAATAATAATAATAATAATAATAATAATAATAATAATAATAATAATAATAATAATAATAATAATAATAATAATAATAATAATAATAATAATAATAATAATAATAATAATAATAATAATAATAATAATAATAATAATAATAATAATAATAATAATAATAATAATAATAATAATAATAATAATAATAATAATAATAATAATAATAATAATAATAATAATAATAATAATAATAATAATAATAATAATAATAATAATAATAATAATAATAATAATAATAATAATAATAATAATAATAATAATAATAATAATAATAATAATAATAATAATAATAATAATAATAATAATAATAATAATAATAATAATAATAATAATAATAATAATAATAATAATAATAATAATAATAATAATAATAATAATAATAATAATAATAATAATAATAATAATAATAATAATAATAATAATAATAATAATAATAATAATAATAATTAATAATAATAATAATATTATTAATAATAATATTAATAATAATAATAATAATAATATTAACAATATTAATAATAATAATATCTGTGGATCCAAGGGTCCCAGGTCCGAATCCACCTTTGGCCGGATTTTTTTCATTTAATTTAATTATTTAAAATTAATTGTGATGCCTTGGTAGGATTCCCCAATCGACCATTCACTGTTGGGTTCTAATTAACAGTGCTGTTCCTAAACTGGCGCTGGGAAACAGTAACAAAGCCTACACAGAACACGAGGCAAAATAACCTTAGCAGTTGAAGCCGAAATAATAATAATAATAATAATAATAATAATATTGGGGGGTGGGTGGCTCAGTGCTCTACCTGTGGATGCAAGGGTCCCAGGTTCGAATCCCACCGTTGGCCGGGATTTTTTATTTAATTTAAATTATTTAAAATTAATTCTGATGGCTTGGTAGGATTCCCCACTCGACCATTTACTGTTGGGTTCTAATTAACAGTGCTGTTCCTAAAGTGGCGCTGTCAAACAGTAACAAAGCCTACAAAGAACACGAGGCTAATAACCTTAGCAGTTGATGCCGATGACACTAAAAAAATAATAATAATATTTATAATAATTATAATAATTTGATTCTAGACGTCTATAACAATAAAAAAATCCTTTTCTGCAATCTGGTTTTGCTACTATCGATGTGAGAGTAGCAAAACTCGACGATAAAAACTCTTGCACAGGGTTTTTTATTGTTATAGACGTCTAGTAGAAGTAAATTATTTCATTGTCAGCTTAAACGAAAACCTTCATCGATGTGAAACATTTTGAATTTGACAGGTTAAACGACAGCTCCCACCACCGGTACATAGTACTTTACTCCTTCCCCCTTCCATGTACCTAACTACAAAACACAACATGCCACTTTAAATATTTTTTGAAAATTGTGTTTTATATAAAATATCTTTCTAATAGATTTTCATGTCTGACGATAAAACTTTTTAACCTTTAAATATAGTTAATTGTATTAGATATTAAATAATATTTTTTTTAGACCTACATGGATATTAGCTCATCTACTCACAGACTACAAAACGAAAAGTATACTATTGTATAACTGAACGAATATTTTTTATATCCATTCGATGTAGTGAGAACACTGCAAAAAAATGAAATCCACCAATTCATACTTTGGTCACCCGACGACTATTATTTTTAAAATTTTAAATAAGTGACAATTCTGTCAAACTAATTGTCAGTATATTTTTTAGTTGTTGAACTTAAATATACGTTAAAATGACAGCATTTTAATTTTTATTTAAACTATAATTATAAATAATTTATTAATTTTAATAAAACTCTACGAAGACACTTCAATTACGAGTATTAAAAAAAAAATCCCAAATATGCCGGTGGGGGTGGTGAGTATCTGACTTCCACGCGAGAAACCCAAGTTAGAGCCTTGGCTGAAGACTTTTAAATACATTTTTTTATTCGTTAATTTTATTTTAAAAATTATTTTAAAATTAGTTATTTTGTCTTAATAACCTAAAATATTTTTTTTTCTTTGTAAATTTTCGTTAGTGCGCCATAGAAAAAATATACTATACAACTCGAATGGATATGATGGTCATATCCCCTCTTGTTACACAAACTACTATTTTCTACACCCACATGGATATTAGCTTATCTACGCACAGACTACAAAACAAAAAAGTATACTATTGCCATTAACTGAACGAATATATTTTATATCCATTCTATGTAGTGAAAACACTGCAAGAAAATTAAATCCACCAATCACAGTAAAAACAATCTTTAAATTTTTAAAAGTTAACTAGTGTTGTTGCTTAAGACAAACTGCATCCTGGAGTTAGACTAATTTTTCTTTGTGAGTAGAATATAATACGTATTGATATATATTTAAATTCAACCATATCTGTGACTATCGTCCCCGAACATCGTTCTCCATATTTCAATAAATCGATAAATTTCTACACTGTTAAAAATGTCGAAAACCAGGCAGCAACAACAAGAAATGGAAGAATTAATTGTGAAAGTCTGCAAACAGCAAACAGACATGATCCGAAACAGTTTAAATGACTGTTTTTCTAAATTTTGAAGAGTCCTTGAATTCCATAAAAGAAAATGTTTCCGAAAACTTGGAGAAAATAAATAACCTGGAAAATAATATGGAAAATTATGAACAAAGATTTAAATTAAATAATTTGTTACTGTATGGTGTCAAAGAAGTTAAACAAGAAAAATCTCACCAACTTTAAAAAAATATTATTAATGTGTTTAACGAAAATCTAAAATAAACATGTGTTTCTGCATCTGATTTCGACCAATTTCATCGCATTGGTAAATATAGTGAGCATAACTTAAATCCCAGGCCTATTTCAGTTCGATTTGTGTCAAACAAGATGAAAAATGTCGTTTTTTCTTGCAAAAAACATCTCAAGAATAGTGGTTTGACAATTAAAGAAGATTTGACGAAGTCAAACGTAATTTTGATAAAATCTGCAGTTTCTAAATATGGTCGGCAACATGTTTGGAGTTCCAATGGAAGAATTTTTGCCTCGGTGGATGGGAAGAAGAAAACTATCACGAGTTCTAAAGATATAGACTAGAAATTTTCTTTTCTACAGTGTATTCGATTTAATTTGCTTATATGTACCTACCGCTTCATTTAAGTTTATTTACTGATTGTTTTTTAATTGTTTTTTACTTGTTTTTTACTTGTTTTTACTTGTTTTTTACTTGTTTTTTACTTGTTTTTTACTTGTTTTTTACTTGTTTTTTACTTGTTTTTTACTTGTTTTTTACTTGTTTTTTACTTGTTTTTTACTTGTTTTTACTTGTTTTTTACTTGTTTTTTACTTGTTTTTTACTTGTTTTTTACTTGTTTTTTACTTGTTTTTTACTTGTTTTTTACTTGTTTTTTACTTGTTTTTTACTTGTTTTTTACTTGTTTTTTACTTGTTTTTTACTTGTTTTTTACTTGTTTTTTACTTGTTTTTTACTTGTTTTTTACTTGTTTTTTACTTGTTTTTTACTTGTTTTAACTTGTTTTTTACTTGTTTTTTACTTGTTTTTTACTTGTTTTTTACTTGTTTTTTACTTGTTTTTCACTTGTTTTTTACTTGTTTTTTACTTGTTTTTTACTTGTTTT